TGTGGATTGCCTGGTCCGGGCTAAGGGACATCTCTTGGGGCCTATGGATAAGGAGCATCCCCGGTTGCAAGCGTAGGGTTGTAAGTTTGTAGGGTTCAGTGGGGCAGCTTGGCAGTGACACAGAGAGGCTGAGGGAGGGCTTCAGAGGTCAAGGGCTCGAGGGCTGGAGACAAACAGAAAATAAAAGGGGTATAGGTTGGGATATAAGGCAGAGTACAGGACTATTCAAACCCTAAACAGTAGCCCTAACAGCGCTCCTGTTTCCTTGAGACAGCTGCAGGCAGGAACCCTAAAGCAGCAGAGTGCCAGAACCCCCGAGAGGTGCAGGCAGACCCCTAGTGCTAGGGCCAGCCAGGAAGAGATAGTGGGGGGACGATCCACAGGGTTGGGGAAACAGGGGGTTTCCCGCCCCGCCCCACCCTGGGCTCTCTGTCCCTCCGCAGCCGGGGATTGCTCCCACCCCTCCTCGAGGCGGCGGTTGGTAAGGCTTCGTGCCTGGCCTCCGCAAAGAGTTCGGCTCTGTCAGCCTCTGCCCTGTCTCAGGGCCAAACTTAGGTAGGGTAGGGAGCAACTGTGGATTGCCTGGTCCGGGCTAAGGGACATCTCTTGGGGCCTATGGATAAGGAGCATCCCCGGTTGCAAGCGTAGGGTTGTAAGTTTGTAGGGTTCAGTGGGGCAGCTTGGCAGTGACACGGAGAGGCTGAGGGAGGGCTTCAGAGGTCAAGGGCTCGAGGGCTGGAGACAAACAGAGAAAATAAAAGGGGTATAGGTTGGGATATAAGGTAGAGTACAGGACTATTCAAACCCTAAACAGTAGCCCTAACAGCGCTCCTGTTTCCTTGAGACAGCTGCAGGCAGGAACCCTAAAGCAGCAGAGTGCCAGAACCCCCGAGAGGTGCAGGCAGTTCCCTGGTGCTAGGGCCAGCCAGGAAGCGATAGTGAGTGCTCGGGCCTACTGCTGTCATATAAGCTGGGGTTTCTATCCTTGGGGTATCCTGGGCTCCCTGTCCCTCACTGACTGGAGAGTCTTCCTCCCCTCCTTGAGGTGGTGGTCATTTGGCTGTCAGCCAATACTGCTGTGAAGCAAGCCTCTGCCTCCCTGTGGGGTGAAGTGTGCAGCCCATGAACCTGGGCATTCTCTAGAGAAGGTAAGTGCTGGGTTTTCACAGATGTGCCACTAAGATCCTGCATTGATATTTGGTCTTCTTGGTTGTAGCTGACCAGGAGACGACAACCTGGCAATGGCAGGAACTTCCCAGATGGCGAGGAGGCCTTCCTTCGCACCCCATGTGGATCCACCCCAGCAAGCATCCGAGAGCTGAGTCGAAGGCTACGACCCGCAGAGGGGATGAAAGCGGGGTGCCGGGTCAGGGCTCGTGACCTGGGATTTTTGAGTCAGCTTTGGGGACGCGGAGGTCCAGGCTGTGGCCCCTTAGGCCGCACAGTGGGAGAGCCTCACTTTTGTTCACAGTGCTGAGGTGTGCAGGACAGAGCAGCCTCGGGGCGCGTCGTGTCACTTGTCCGTCGTGCCTTCTGTGTCTTTTGTGCCTCTTGTGTTGTACGTGCCTTGCCCTATCTCTTCTGGGGGCTTACCAGAAACCCCAGCATCACTTATAGCATCTCCAATCTCTGGGCTCCTCGGCTCGGCTGCTCTCAGAGGCCTTGGAATCGCGTCTCTTTTGAAAAGCATCCGATCGGATGTCTTTTAGATGTTTTCTTCCGAGCTGTGTCAACAGCCGTGCGCCGCGAGGATCCATTGTTGCGGCTTAGGACTTGAAGAAACGCAAAGATAGGTAGGGGACTGCGGCCCTAAGATTCTTGAGCATCTGTCTTGGCAGTTCCTGGAGTTAATTGTTCCATCAGCATCTTCTTCCTCCCGGGTTCTGTGAGCTTCATCAGCTCGCCTTCATTCTCACCCGGCTCATCTCGTTCCGCATTCTCTCAGTCCTTGCGGCCGTCCTTGTGGCCCAGAGTTTTGTCTCCCCATTGTGTCCCCTCGTCGGGTGTCTGGTGTGTCACGGGTGTCTGGGTGTAGTTGTCCCGGAGCTGCTCTGCCCTGCTGCCCAGCCTGGCTGTAGGTGTACAAGGCCAAGTCCCAGGCCCCTGTAATTTGAACTTTGTGATGTAGGGTGTAGTTGGGGTCTAGAACATATCCCTAGATCAACACAAGATGTCTGGAGCTGTGAAGTTACCCTGCAGCGCTTTGACTTTTGTCTCAGCTCTCTTTCAGATGCGGACGGATGAAATCGGTGGCAGAGCGCCCCATCCAGGGTAAGGGGGTTCCCCCGAGAAGGTAAGTCAGTGTTTGTCTTTGCAGGGCAACTGGAACCGGTCCCTGTGTTACAGGTCTCCTCTTTGTCTTTATTTTTAGGAAATAGAGCCAGCTAGCAGCAGTCAAGGTGAAGTGGGCAAGGTGAGCGTTGACCGGTGGAGGGAGGCTGTTGTTATCGCTGGGCTCTCAGTTTCAGGTGCGACGCCAAGCGTCCCTCCTTGTTTGCGTGCTTTAGGCGGTCCAGTCGCGTTTCGTCGAGACCCCGTCGCCAGCCGGCCGGCACGCCTGCTTCGCCGCTCCCGTGAGCCCTGCGGAAGCGTCACAGGGACCGCGTGACGGAGCCTTTTCCACGTAAAGGGGCCGTGTGGCTGGCCTTCAGGAAGGGGCCGAGGGCTTCCCGTGAGTTGGGGATGTCGGGGGGAGGAGCGAGGGCCTGTTCAAGTCTCAGCAATGCCACATCACTTTTTCTTCTTTTAACTCAGGCGCGCCCTGCGACGACGCTGCCTGGTCCCGGCGTGGCCGTATCGTGCGGCCTCAGGACACGGCCGTTCACAGGAGACCGTGAGTAGCGGAATTGTCGGGTTTTGGCCGACGCCCTGCAAAGATCAGCTGCTGATTTTCTGTTTTATTTTTTGTAGCTGACGGAGAGACGACAGCCTGGCGATGGCAGGAACTTCCCGGATAGCCAGGTGGCCTTCCTTGGCTCTCCGTGTGGATCCTCCCCAGCGGGCATTCGAGAGCAT